CTTCAAAGAATTTTCCCTCAAAAATTAAAGTAAACTAAGAATGTCAAACTATCTCATTGTTGAAACTTGACTAATGCATGGAATAATAATGCAACACAAAATGTACTTAGAACAAAATGTATTGAAACAAGAAAGTGTACACAATATTTACATATAGTCTTTTGTATATTCCTGGTAAGACCGTTCCTGGAGAATGTGTTGACTGTCGCAGTCGGACAGATCCTCTGGTTGAATCTCTTGATTCCTCCCTCTCTTCCCGGTACCAACCATATTTATATGGTCGGTACTCCACTATGCAAATTAGGTGAATCCTACCACAACACTCACTTCGTCTACTTTTGAAGTATACAAACCATATATGACTTCTTGAAAATACGTTAAAGCTACGGACTTTAAGATATCTCATTTATTTCCCTGAAACGAGCTACTGACATTAATTCAAGCGTGTAAATTCGTGAATAAAATCCTTATTTTGTTTTGTTAAAATTGCCTGTGTGTTTCCTCGTCATTATCATCTTTCATTAATATCCTTGGTGTGGGTAAATCAACAGTTTATACGGTGGAGCAATGGATAAAGGCTCGGATTGAGGAGTCGATGAACTGACAGTCGAATCCATTACATTTACTTACGGAAAGGTATGAATCCTCTTCTTCGCCCCCCACCCAAGATATGGGTAAATAGCAGGACAGACCGGGATGCGGTAGACCAGTTGCCTTAGATGGCAAGTGGTCTACCGCAGAAAGAAATGCCAACCTACTACGGAAAAAATCTGCCTCGTCAGTCATGTATCGTAAGATACATGATCGCCTACGTTTGTATCACGCATGGCACATAACTGACTGACTCAAGTTCAACGCCACTATAAGAGAAATAGGAAGAAAAATTAAAAAATAGTGATACGATCATAACTTGGGTTTTTCAGTAAAAAAAAAATAAACACGTCTTGTATTTTGAGGGAATATGAAACGCATTAGTATATAAGATGCACCCTTATGCTATAAAGTTCGGAAAGAAAAATCTATAGTCTTATTTGAAATATTCAATTTCTTACTTTAAAAATTAGTGTATATTATTCAAAACCCAAGAACTGAAAACCTGAAAATAATATAATACCGAAAAAAAATCATTGTATTTGTTTGATTCAAAGCTTACGATATCCTCGTGGCTTTCACTATCTTTTGGAGAGGAATCAAACGTCATTGCAATCAAGTATTACCATAAAAATAATGCTATCCTTGGTCCCGTTCATTGTGTCACTGATAAAACATTTCTCAAATGAATTAATCTCAATGCGTTTCCCCCGAATTCTTCAGCCACATGCATCCACCTCAAGTAGATTCAGACATCAATGTTTTGGGTTAAAAAGTGCGTCTTATATAAAAAAAACAGTATATTTTAACAACTCTCCGCATCAGAAGACTTTTGGAAATTTTTTCTGAGTACAGACATAAGCTGATTACTGGCGGTCCATTTTGGAGGCATCATCTCCACATCGCTGCAATAAAAAGCAAACCCTGATGATCGCCATAATGGTTGCGTTTTGACAACGATCAAATATTTCCCATCGCTAGTTCGCAAGGGGGTTGATAGAGGGAAGGTGAGAGAAAAACTGTGTATAGGGGAAATGTAGAAAGAATAAAAGATGAACGGAGTTCAAGACATCAGAAGGTGACGATTAACGTTGCATTTAAATTCTGAGAGATTGTAGTAATCAGGGAAGCTAGTAAACGGGCGGGAATTCCATGGGCGGGAATTGGGAGAAAAGAAGCTGTTGGAGTAGAAGTGTCGGTTACATTTAACTATTTCAACGATAAATGAGGGGACCTTGATGACAGTCTAGTAGAATGCTTAAATTTATGTAGTCAGTGCACAAGGAAAAAAAGCTTGACATAATAGTAGCCATGGAAATATTTGTAGAAATGATAGAGGGAAGCCACCTCACGTCTGTGAGAAAGTGACTGGAATCGAGATGCCAAGTCAAAAGCATATATCAGAGATCTGCATACAGCACTTGCATAATGAAATAATAGTGATAAAATTAAGAGAAAATTTTGATGTCTACAAAACAAATTTTATTTTTATTTATTTTCGTATTTTATTTATTTATTTTTCGAAAACCCACATGAAAAAGAAGCAGTATCACATTTTACCACCTGTGAGTGTGTAAAATAAATCCTTTCACAGTTGTACAATGAGGAGAAAAAATTAAACGCATGCCCTGATGTCTGCAACAAAGACGGAGAAAGTGTGAGCTTTTTGGCAAATACCTACATCCAAAAAGATGTTTATCGTATTTTAAGTCTGCGAGTCGATCAAATACGTAGAAATAATTTTGTTTTCGGTAATATTTTGCAGGCAGATCTCGATTTTATCTATTTAAAAATAAAAATAATACTGTATGAATTATATCCCAAAGGAAGACTGAAAAAGAAAATCGCCCTCAAACGTAATGATAAAAACAACAAAGATTTGGATACTCGTCTGAACAACTGGAATAGCTCCATTGTAGCGCCCTGCTATTAAATTTTATGTACGATGCAGACTTCATAATTAACTTATTTGAGAAATCTTGGAAGGCGCTGTTTTTCACCCCGTGAATACAAGTCTTTCAGCCTCTAAAACAACGTTGATCATTTTTTCCTTCTCTTTTTATAATGCTTGCCGTCTATTTTTCTTCCTATTTTTTTTTTCTTCTGAAACAACCAACTTAATTTTCTAATGTTGTCCAACCGACTTTTAAATGCGTAACATGACTGAACCGATTTTATTTAATCAATCAACTTTCTCATTCACTCGAAATATTCAACCGGCAGACACCACCACCACTGACACTAAGTTCTCGACAATCACCACATCCAACAGTCCCAATAGCCTCTTCTATCCTCAGGATCGGCATCATCATCATCACTACTTTTTTAAAAAAAATTATCAGCATCGCTTTTATCGTCACTCTCTTTATCAGCAAAGCATCGACCGATCATCACTATCATAATCATCAATTATGATGAGTGATGTTTTTGATTTTATAAGGAAAAGATATGCCTGACGATGAATAAAGGATTATTCGAAAGTACTTGCATTTTAAAAAATATAAACTGGAAACAACAAAAAACAGTTTTATAGATGAGGATCACATCATTCTATGGATTAACAGTATTTTAATGCATACATTATACACTATTAGCGATGGATGTCGCCAATAATAGCATTAATATTGCTGATTGATTCTATGTGATTATTTCTTTGTTATATATATATATATATATATATATATATATATATATATATATATATATATACGCAATTTTATTTTGGGAAATAATAATGGTTTAGTTATACAAGTATTACTAATTAACCCAAGAGAACGGGTGGATTCATGCATTTTTCAAGGGCATTGGCGCGTAAGTTAATATAACAAACCCAACTGGAATTAGAACTTGGTACTTCGATAAACAATTCCGAGCCATTATCCATTACACCACACGTGAATCCAAGGTTACAGCACCTGGTATCCCTAACAGGTCAACCAGCTAGATAATGACCAGTCTCAACGTTGCTTAACTTCTGTGATCGTATGGGGACCAATATTTAAACGTGATATGTCCGTAAGTTTAATTCCAGTCAAGTTTGTTACATTCTATTACGCGCAAATACTATTTGGAAAATTATGAATCCTTTTGCACTCCTAGATATGGGTAAATAGCTGGATAAACTGAACCCTATAGCCTCGATTGGCAACCAGTCTAGGAGAAAGAAAATTTTGAATTAAAACCAGCCTGGAGAGGGTTGGACTCCGTCGGGCTAGCTTACCCAAGACACATGCTTCAACCGCAGTATACGTGGTACCCTTATGATCCCAGTGGGTTACTGGACTTTTGAAGTGCCGTGATCAAAACTAACAGAATAATGAAAGCAATACTAGAGAGCACGGTTTGTACAAATTATTAGATGTGGCATGTATGAAGCTTCCAATTATTCCCTTAAGCAATGCATCTTCAAGAACTCCAAAAAAAGACAATGTCTAAAAGTGAAGAATATTATTGATAATTTCTGTGTAAAGTGGTTTTTAAGGGTTCCACGCAAGCAATTGTTGGAACCTCTCAAATTTACAATACATAGCATCCGTACTTATGTTTTCTGAGTATATCGATTGATTCCTTCCTGTTATAAACATTTAAAGTGTTGCATAGAGATTTATCATTCGAATCATTGCATTGTTTCAAATAGAGTAGAAGAAAAAGGTTTTGAGAAGAACGATGAACATAGAAACAATGGAAAAATAACTTCTAAGTGTTAGGAAAATAGAGTTCTGCTTTTAGCACACTGGAGGGGTGGCGCTATAAATATGCGCAAAAGACAAGAATTCCTCAGCTGAAACACTGTGTTTAAAACTGCAGAGTCGATGATTTTGGTTGGAATAATTCTTCAAATAACGACCAACCTAGGGAATAATATTTTCCAAAACAACTCATTGTCTACATTTTTGGAATAATTTTTAAAAGTTCAATTTGAACATTTCTTTGCATTATTGTCCTTATCGTTACTATTAATATTATTACAGTGTTTCGACCATTCTGTTCTCCGACCGTTATCAGGTACTTATGGATCCGTGAATTTCTAAATGAACTCTTAATTCAATCAGCATAATTAGATTATTCCTGTTTCGCTATGTCTAGAGTTGATTGATTGATTGAGTGATTATTTTTACGGATTATCAACCCTTGATGGGTTATTTAAAGCCGAAACATATATTTGTGATTTGTACGAGTAATTATACTTTTTTGCGAGTGAATGTTGCATTAACAATTTTGAAGGAAATAATGATTTTTTTCTAACGATATCTCGGTTAATGTTTATTTAGTAATGCTCGGTTACTGCTCGTCAAATTTTCACTGAGTTGAAGTCTGCTCTACATGGTTCAGGGATTGAACCAGAAAATATAACGAAGCAAAGAAAAGCTGGTTTGAAAAAAAGAAACGCGGTGAACTAGAAGAAAGAAATGAAGCGAATCATATCTATGACAGAAAGAAAGCCAACATTCGAAGCGGCTGTATTCGTCCAGAAGATGGCACCGTGTTCCCAGAGCCATATGATATTTGCAGTAGATGGGAGATTTACATCAAAGAACTGTTCGGCGACACCGGAGGAAAACCTTTACCCCGATACCGGAGTTGTCAGTGAAAGAGCAGATATTCGCTAAAGACGTGATTCGGAATGTAATTGTTATATAGGAATAAAGTGTCACTGTCGACACTTGAGTTTGAACATAGATCGCCAGTGAGCAAACACAGGCAATCTCATTATTGAATTAAGTGGTTCACGTGACCATAGAGGAAACGCATAAGTAGGAAATCGTGTGAAGTCCGAATGATCACCATTTCTACTCTATCCTCTATTACAATAGGGATTGCTATTCTATATTCACTATACGAATAACTATTCGGTACTTACTTTACGATCGAGTATTATCGAGAAAGTACTATTACTGCGAGTGTTATTCGAAGGCGTCTGACATCAGCATTGTTCAACGGCGTACTATAGTTGTATCTGCGATTACAAAGTCTCTACTACAACGAGCATTACGAAAGTGACAACGAGTATTCGCTGATATCACAAACGTAATCAAAATGATGTTGAAGAGTGAATTAGTTTGTTCTGTTGATGTTTCAGTAGAAATGCTCGAAGTAAAACAAAAGAATAGAAACGTTCTAAAAAATGTTCAGTCATATGAAACTGAAGGCTTACCGGTCGATTTTCAACATAAGGTTTTTATCGTAACACCGAAAAGGCTATATGCTCAAGAATTATGCAGTCAGAATCTTCAGCATCATGAATCACACGCGTTATACTCCTCCTTACCATTATCATACAGCAAATCCGAAGTAAATCGCCACCAGAGATCTCAGAAGAACAATTTGATTTCATGCCAGATAAAAAAAACCTTAAACGCCATCTTTATTGTACGAATGCTATGCGATTGCGCCACTCAACATCAACAGACTGTTTTTTCTCTTTCATTGGTTACACGAAAGTATTTGACAAAAAGGACTTGAAACTTCTACATGGTCTTGGAATAGATGGCAAGGACCTTCGACTAGACAGGAAATTAAACAGGGATCAGAAAGCTGCAGTACAAGACGAAGATGGTTGCATATTCTGGATATATGGATACATATTCTACGAGATCTGACACAAGATTGTGTGCAACCACATGATTTCTTCAATCTTTATAACGAGAATATTTTTGCGTGATAGTTAACATGACCGCTTTGAAATTCGGTAGCACTATCAATATCGTTAACATCCGATGATGATGATGATGATGATGATGACGATGGTTGTGATAGCATCATTAGGAGAACTGCAATCACTTTTGGATAAAGTAGTAAAAGCAAGCGCAGTACATAGACTATCAATCAACTGCCATAAAACCAAATCAATGGTCATTAGTAAATCAGCTGAGAAATCACAACGCCACTTGAGGATTGGCAATAAATACATCAAGGAGGTAGAGAGGTTTGATTATCTCGGAAGCGTGATTACAACATATGCTAGATGTAGAACGGAGACCAGGAAACAAAATGACTTTACGAAAAACAAATTTCAGGACTTGAGTCCCATTTCTATCAACAGTAATTTGTCTGTAATGATTCGTTTGATCAAGTGTCACATATGGTCACTTTTGAACTATAGATACGAAGTGTGATCCATAACCGCTAAGTTTAAGAAGAATATCAAAACAGAAGGAATGTGGTTTCTAGGAAGAATTATGCGGACGCTGGTGTTCCTCAAGACTCTATTCTCAGTGCTACACTGTTTCAGATCGTCACCAATGATCTTCCTGACGTCATCAGTTCCAAATTGGCATCTTCGCAGATGACATTACCATTTACTCCTGTCTCAATAGTAAATCCGTTATTGGTGACAAATTTAACGTTACCGTTGGTCTCAGAAACGATCTTCAATCTGTGGAGGGCTGGAGCAGGATATGGCTTGTGAATTTTGATATATCCAAAACGAAACTGCTGTCATTTACTCACCATAAAGAAACGTCTCTGTCTCCTATCAGAATGTTTGATGCTCAACTCCACAAGAATGCCTCTCTGCGATTTCTTGGTCTCAGGTTCTCCACTGACATGAGTTGGAAGAACTACATTGAATCAATTGCAGCATCTACTGCAAGGAAATTTGGTTCTCTGTGTCGCGCCAAAAGGTTTTTTTCTCGTCTGACTCCACCCTTCACATCTACAAATCTACCATCCGTCCATGAATCGAATACTGTTGACATATATAGTCTCGTGCCAACCGATGTTCATCTCGAGGTTCTCGACAAATACCAAAGACAGATATGCAATGTGATCGGTCCTGACTTGGAGTCTCGACTGTAGTCACTTTCTCACCGACGTAATGTGGCTTCCTTCTGTCTTTTCTATAAATATTTTCATGGCATCTGCTCTGACGAGCTGTGTTCACTGATGCCCCGACTGCATGCATTTAAGCGTGCTACTAGTTTGGAATCTGGGTCCCACCCTTGTACTGTCGAAACAGTTACATCTACTCCAACAGTTTCTTCTCTCGCACTTCCCGGCAGTGAAACGCCCTTCCTCTTTTTTAGGGGACCTTACCCATAATAACATAATGGACTATTCCATACGTAATAAATACTGCGCCTCAAGAGGAAGCAGAGTGTTCCGTCTGAAGTCTCGAGTTCAGTCTGAAGTCTCGAGTGAAGTCTGAAGTCTCGAGTTCAGTCTGAAGTCTCGAGTGAAGTCTGTTAGGAGTCTGTCAGTCAGTCAGAGCGAGCGAGTCAGTCAGTCGAGTCAGAGGCAGTCCGAAACAGAGTCGCGTTCAGACAATTACTACTAAACCTTTCTACTTCTCTGTATATATTCCTGTTTGTAATATATCTGTGTTATTTCATATACGTGTTCGAGTTCTTCTTTATTGATTCTACCTTGGACTATCACCGTGGTACAAGGAACCGGGCCATAACATTCTTACTTTCTTCCATGATAATTATAATCTTCAAAAATTTAAATGTAATGTCAGTCGACATCTTCGGTTGCCTTGATCCCCTTTCTTCTTTTTATCCTCCTCCGTTTTTTTTTTCTTTTTATCCTTTCTCCCCTCACCTAAATCCAGTATTTTCCCTTACTTACACTCTCTGTATCTCTTTGCCTACTAGTGGCACTGTCGCCTTGCTTGGTGTGAATTGCTTAAAAATATCACATAGGAATTAGGAGGTTTTACGGATAGCTAAAGTGAGAAGTGGGCTACTGGCGGTCATCATGGCAAGACGGCTTCGATTTATAGGAGTATACAGCTGGTATTTTTAGCTGTGCTCACGATCACCCAGCGAGCATCACATACGGCAATAAGAAGAGTTTTGTGATGAAAATAAAATAATGCAGAGAAAAAAGAAATCTGCAATATTATCTGTCCCGACCTGGCATCTCGGTTTCAATCACTTTCCCACCACTCTAACGTTGTTACCCTGTGCAATTGTTCTAAAGAGATTTATTCTTTGATACCTTGACTTCTAAAAGGCAGATTAGAATGTGTGACGTTCGAAGGAAAACATCATATTTTCATCGAACTAAAGAACTGGCAAGGATAGAGTGATCATCTTCAGCTGAGCTCACGATCATCCCCGATGAAGAGACATGATCTCCCAAGTGTGCATCACGCATGGCACCTAAGGAAACAAGCAACACTTGGAAATTATAATTTTTTAATCGTTTCATCCCAATAAAGCAATAAAGCCACTAAGACGCAAGTGGTTACTGAGTGGTTAGAGAATATGAGAAAAACTACTCTTAAGGAGAGAGGACAACAAACGAACAAGAATTAAGAAGACAGAAGATAACGATTGGCATAGCTTTTACATTTTTGAAGATCAAACTTGACTGGGAGGCAAGTATCCGGAAGAGAGATCCGCAAGGAAGAAGTGCGATAGAGGAAACTTTTTGCATAGAACTTACTAGTCATTTCGTCTAGTCATTTTAACTGTAAAATGAGGAAACCGTGCCGCTAATCTAGTACTGCGCTAAAATTCATAAAGTCTACGTACCTTAGCTGAAAGTAATATTTCTTTTGTGTAATACAAAAATGTGACACAAGGGCAAAAAGGGGAATAAAGAAAGGCTGGTCTTCAATCTGTCGTATCTTAACTAACCACTAGTACTGACCCAAACATACCACAGTATTCCTTACACCAAAACAACACATTCTTACCATTCTTACTACAGCCACCATAATACCTCAAGTCACTGATTCCTATATGTACAATTTGTCTTTGGTGAATAAAACTAACAAATTTAAAATTGAAACCTCAATGAGTATTTACAATGATTAGAATTTTATATACAAGAAACTAAATAAAATAATGTTAGTAATAAACCAACCAAATACACACAATCCTCAGTCGTGACTGAAACATCAGTTAACTGGACGAAATTAATTGTGGGTCTATGTAATTGATAAGAATCATTCGACCAAACACTCACTCAAACAAACACTCATCCTGACACAAAAAACAGATACGAGATACACACTTGAAAAACGAAGAGCGACCTGCGTCTACCAGAGAACTGACATAGAACTGTACCATAGGTGAAAGTTCATCAGAACAATTACTATGAAAGTATTTAGAGAAAAGGCATATATGTTTCTCATAAACTGCACACCCTCGTACACACACACATACACATACACATACATGGATAGACAGCTAGCTAGCAAAGCTAGATAGATAATCTGTTTTTTCTTTCAGGGTGTAATCAATCATGGAGCCCTATAAATTTTATAACTCTTGTTGCCAAACGTAATTTTCAACCATTTACTCTTCTTCTTAGTCTCTATTCTGCTTTCCATCCACATAAACACTTTAAGTACGTTACTCTTTGTTTCTCCTTGCTTACTTGGCATTCAGTGTCCTGTTAATGTCAAATTCTACAGGCGCTCCTTTCTTTTACGTGTCTCTGAATTATTAACTTTTTATGCTGATATCAGTTTCCTTGTATAGCCTATTTTCTTTGAAGCATTTCATTTGACCTTGCATATTGTATTTAGATTTGTTTCTAGGGAGATTTTTCTTTATACTTTGCTTACCTTTTGTAAGGCATCTTTCACTATTCCAATCTCATTGGGGTTTCGCTGTTGCATTTGTCGTCCTCTTTTAAAACACTTCCTAAATATGTAAATGCTTGTACTCGTTTGATTTTAAGTGCTACTCTAGACAAACAAAAGTCTTAGAAAAGTAAATATTTTCAAATACGGCCAGTACATTGTGGCTATGTTCATAACTGATTTGTATTGATTATTTTTATAATAACACCTTCAATTTTGTTAAAACCCTTTTTACCGTTCGATGGGCACCTCGAATTTAAGATCTCGTATGTTGTATATCGAGGTGGGTATAATTAAATGCTCATTTAAATAATGTCCGAACAGAACCCTGGCCAGAGATATTTAGGATCAGCAATTTTAACGGGCAAGTGGTTAAGTGTTCGATATAAATATTTATGAATTTGTTTTCGTCTGGAATGTATTTCATTGGGCTATTTAAATTCATAAAAATTGTTGATCTAATATAATTTTGATTCTTCTGGTGGGCTGCTGTTGTTGACGATAAAGTTAATTTTAATCATAAGGCCATTTATTTAAAAAAGATAATTAACTTGATATTTTTACTTTATTCTGATGTCGTTTTTTAATATTATTACTTAAAAAATGCAAGTGGGCATTTGATCAAACACAAGAAAATACACGCATGCATATATATATATATATATATATATATATATATATATAATGAAATGGATTAAGTCCGACAATTATTTAATATATTTTCTGTTTATACGTTATTTTATTAGATACAATTTATTTAAGTAAATGATCTGTCTTTTATTTACCGACTTGAATGTTCGAGAAATATCGTAGAAAATATGTACTTCTAAGAAATTTCTCGAACTTTCAGGCCGGTAAATATAATTAATACTGTTTATTTAAAAAAAAAGCAGAATATTTACTTAAATTGTATTTAATAAAATAACGTATAAACAGATAAATTTATTTCGTTTAAAAATATGCGTCCTCCAGCCAGATTCGATCTTATATGCCCTATGGAAACCGTCATAACAAAATTTAAATTTTCTCGAAAAATTCAACAAAATTTCTCGAAAATCCAATCCAGTCGATATAGTTGGATAAAAAATACTGTTCAATTAAAAAAAGTTTCTCCATCAATATGTCGAATATAAATATATATATATATATATATATATATATATATATATATATATATATATATATATATATATATATATATATATATATATAACACCCAAATTTTGGCACCACAAGAAGAAGAGAGAGGGGAGGGAAGATCGGGATGCACACTGAGAAATCACATGTCTTAGATTGCCTTAGTTCCAATAGTGTGAGACTTAGAAATTTATCGTTACATGAAGTAAAAACATTATATTATTCTAAAAGCTTTTTAGTATGTCTACTTTTTCGGATTGCCAACAAAACTTTTCCTGATCACGATGTTCACTCTTCCGTATAGCTTCCTCAAAGTAACATGGCGGGAATAAACATACAATTACGCGTGTGTAGAACACACAAGTGTCTCGCTTCGCTTTACTGTTGATCTCTTCAAATGGTGTCTTCTGTTTCTTTCGGGCATTTTTTTTTTTTCTCGATTATACCTTTTTCTCGCCTTCCATATTATACTACATCGCCTGTTCTTTTTTTTTAAACTAGTCACCCCCACCTCTTTTCTTTCTGCTGTCTTCCTCTTCCCTCTGCACTTTCTTGCTTTTTCCCCTTTCCCTTCCCTTTTCTCTTTCTTCCTCTTTTTCACTTTCTCGTCTCACTTTTCAGCGCACTGCATTCTATCTTTGCCTTCTAACATTTTTCTCTGCTTTCTTTCGTCTCCTCCCTATCTTCCGTGCTTTTTTGTTGTCTTGATGCTTCTTTTTATTATATTCTCTTCCTTTTTCTTTTCTCTCTCTCTCTCTCTCTCTCTCTCTCTCTCTCTCTCTCTCTCTCTCTCTCTCTCTCTGTCTCCTTCTTTCAGGCTTGATTTTTTATCCTTCCATTTCGTCTGTTTTTCTCTGGTATATGTAGATAAATACGATGGTGTGTGCTGAAAAGTTTTCCGTCCAGCACCATTTACAAAATTCTCCTACTCCCTATATATATATATATAACATAAACATGGCTATTTTTGTAGTGATTTTATAACATATTTATGTTATAATTTTTTAAATAAATAATTATATCTGTCTGCTCTACTTTGTATTGAGCACTCTTTTAAGAATAGTAATTGTTGGTTATTGGAATTCATTCCGTATACACCAATTATATACTTATACACACATATATATATATATATATATATATATATATATATATATATATATATATATATATATATATATATGTATATATATATATATTAAGTAATACGTATCTTATTTCTTAATATATATATTAAATAACTCTGTTATTTTATATTGAGCATTGTTTTATTTCTTATACTATGTAGTATTTATTAATATGTATTTGTATACGGTCGCTCGCTTATATACCTACCTATATTTACCCATTCGTTTATATATATGAACCATTCACACGGACACATAAGACTTACATACGATCAACGAATTAAGCAACAACGAGCCTGATCAGTATCTAGAGGGACAGCGGACATTAGCGCATAACCTACCTAAGTAGGTAGTGTAAATGGATGGCAAATTAAGTTTTAGGAGAGAAAACAAAAAGACAAATTTTAATAAGATCTACAAAGGACAGGAAATTGGGTTGTGCCATCATGATCGCCAATGTTCTGAAGGAACATGGTACAAAACAAGAAAATTGTAACAATTAAAATAATGGTTGGTTTAATTTTAATATAATTACAATTTATATGTAGACGGGTAATTTTAGAAAAATCTACGACAAATTTTTGTGTGATGCGTTTCGTCTTTTAGGCCTTCATCAGATTAAAGTGATGCTTCCGTTGATGAAATTACGCATGCACACAAAGGGGAGTGGACGCTAAGAATTTAAAAATTTAAATTATTTTTTAAAATATATATATTTTGGGTATATTGTCAAGCATATTGCATTTAGTTTTTTTGTTTGTTTGTTTGTTTTTGTTTGTTGTTTTATTTTTCATCACTTGTCATCAAATATCTTACATTGTAATAATAAAATATCTGCCAAGAGACATGAAATGTAAGAACTTGGACATAAATTTACTGTGGATGATCTAGCAATTAAAGCACTTTCTATATATTTCGGAAAGATAGTTTCAATAATATATATGGATGAATTGTAATTTCTAATTTTTATAATTGTCTCTTTTAATTTTTTATATAAATACGTATAATTATTTTATATATTACATATTTTCTTGTGTGTGTGTATTGTAAACTTTGCTTCGTTTGGTAAAAGGTAAATAAAAATAGGAAGAATGTGTTTTTCCGTTCCTCCTGGTGAATATGTTTGCTTCGAAAATCAATATTCCAAATCCTGATTTCTCCTCTAAGCTTGATTACTGGTCGCAAATATGCAACTTTCTAACTCTTAGAGCCGACTGCCACTGATAGCGTCATAATATCAAAAACAGATTTAGTTTCCTTTTGTTTTAACTTGTTCTAATAATTTTAAATTTACCAACGTTTATTTTCGACTCGACAGCTATTTGATCTTTTTTTTTGTCTCATAGCATTTTCATGACCTTTGATATTTTTTTCCGATCTCATTAGCGTAATATTATTTTTACTTGACTCCTCTTGCTACCTCTACCTCTACAAGAGCGAGGTCAGATCGAAAATGAAGTAATGCTGCCATATATGGGCAGGGGCAGCTTTATGAATCTGGCTCCCATGATCCTTCCCCGATCACCACAATCTTAACCCCTGTTCAACTCTAAGGCTAACCGTCATATTCCCAAGATATCCTCATAAACTCTTACTCTGTAACGCTCTACCTTGAGTGTCTCTTTGACATTACATAGAGTGAATATCATTGTATAAATACATACTAGACAGACCTGTTTAGTAAGAACCTCAGGTCTCAAAGTGACCTATTGTTCTTGACTGACTATATCTTACAAGCTGTTACTTTGAAATTTCATCGCGAGATAAAGCTGACTGGCTTCGCATTAGGAGAGGAAAGATTTCATTAGAATTTTGTAGATAATTGCATCATGAATTTATTCTTTATGTGCTTTTATTGGTAGATATATTTACAAAAAACTATAAAAAAAAATTCATTATCAAAATACTGGCAACCTTTTTTTGTTTCCATCATCTTCTTCAATATATACTGCTTCTAAAAATATAGTTACAGACGGTTTGGCGTAGATGTTAGTGAGTTGAACTCTTTAAAATACTATTGCGTTTCTAATAAAAAGTTCTATTGCAATTCTAATAATACGTCACTGTTTTATCCCTGTAGCTGTATATGGGACTATGATTGGTAGATATCTACAATGAATCGTAACACTGATATTAATATCCTATCGATTACCTGGTTAGCCGTGACGGTTGCTTCGAGAAAAATCGCTTTTGTTATTTTTTTAACATACCTACGTTCGTTCCTTAGCATAATTTGTATGTGCCGAATATTTCTTTCGCCTGCTTGATTTTTTTCTCATTTCCATAATTTTAAAAGTTCGTGAATTCTCGTTTTTCGTTTGCTCACTCGTGCATATTTTTTCTACTTCTGACTTGTCTACCACCGTTGCTTTCTGCAAACAACTGTAATAATATTAAAATGTTTTCAAGGACATAAGAAATCAAGAGCAGAAGTAAAAATCACCTTTCTTCTTTTATAACCCATTTTCCTTCACGATGGTCATATCTCTACACAACTTCCTGTCTATTGTGGTATTAAGTCTATTTAAACTACCGTTTACCGATGAAAACAAATATGAATAATTATTGCGGAAAAACCAACACTCGCCTGTCCATATGGCTGACACTACACCTCCATGATCAGAGTTCCATACGGACATATTTAAACAAACATTGAACTTTCTGGGTTAATAACCGCGACATCCATAGATACGTGTACGTTCTTCTGCATATATAGAAAAATGTCTGTGATTCTACTTGGCAAAATATAGAAATGCAATTACAGATTTATGGATGGATATGCAGCAATTCTTTTTTGGAGATCTAATAGAATTAATTATGTTTTCATTAGGGTTTTCGATTTTTCTGTTCATAACTTTTCTTCCATACATATAATCTGACAATTTGTTTAAAAGAACTGAAAAGTGAATATTCAAGCGCAAATTTCATTTTCTTACATATTTATTGTGTGAGTTATCTTTAAATTTCATGACAATACTACTTTGTTGCATTTAATTCTTTTATTTTTACTCATGACGAAAGGAATATGACCCAGTCACGCACATCCGCGTTTTAATCCGATCGATCCGGTAACCACTTGATCAATATATATAGATATATATATAGTTAAATTCCCAGATGAATTCTGTGGACAAGACAGATTGGTATCAAATGCCAATTGGAAAAAAATCTTACATTTTGCCGACGCGTTTCGTCTTCCGACTTTTTCAAGGCAAAAATGAAATCGAAATGTTTTTGTTGTTATAGTTACATTAAAATTCAAAATTAAAAAGATAGACGCTTGTGTCTAAGCCTTTTTTCTGGTTAATGTAAATTACCTTTATAGTAAGGGATTTTTTTTTTTTTTTTTTTTCATGTCGACAATATAGTTAATATATATATTAACCGATTTAAAAATATGGTTTTTCGCTACACAGGAATTACCATGTTTCAAAAACAGAAACTAACAACTTTAAATTCAATTATTTAATTAAATTAAAAGCACTAGGTCTGTTGCATTTTCAAGCAAATTTTAGAATAACTTATTTTGAAATTTACTGAGTTTTAAAATCACGTACATTCATAATATTTGTTTTTAAGTTTTCAGAGAAATTCAGTCACTTAGACAGGGGCGGTAAGCGTGTTCATTTTTATTATCAACTATTGTATCAAATATCAGTTATTTTCGAAAAGAGGTTAAGTCTAGGTAGGGTAGGGGTGCCTTTTCCACTGAATTATGACATCCGTTCGACGCTTGTCGTCTGGTTTTTTTAAACGACAAAAAAACTTTCCTACATTTTTATCCGTTATGTTTGTACTTGTATAGATAAAGATTGTTTCTAAAAGGGGTGTTTGTGTTAGAATGTGTTGTATTGAACTACAATTTTACAATATTATTTTTATTTTTAATAGACTATATTTCATTTTAAAACAAATAAATGTAATAGAATTACTTAAATTATTTGAAAAATATTATTAAATATGAGATATAAGTATGTATATTGCTATTATTATTAAATCTCAAATATAAGCATGTATATTAAATATTATTTAAGGAAAATTTTTGACAATGTCGGCAAAGAATAGCTATTTCATTTCTTTGATTCAATATTTTTTTATTTTTTATAAACCTAGTAATATATAGTTTCTCATGTATGCACAAAGGACATGGGTCATTTAATGACACACATACTCTAGCTTTTTTTATTAATTTCTATTTTACTATAGGTGTTTTATTGGTTTCTTTTAAGTGCCAGAAATATTTCGATAGGGACGTCTGATTTCGGTGTTTAAATAAATACCGAAATCAGACGTCCTAAAAGAACTTTGATGTTGGTTAAAGCGTTTTTTGAACTCGTGTCTTGTACATCCTATGTAGACGTTTACGTTGACATGATCCTCAATAGATGAGATATAGCATTTGTATACTAATGATTCCGTGCGACATTTATTATCTAGAGGACAATTATTAGGATTTCTGCAGTTGCATAATTTTTAGTTTAACTTCATCTCTTTTTATTTTTATATTGTCTAAATTTCCTTGGTTTTGGTCTAAGTATTTAATCAAGATATTAGCATTGTGTTTCTTAATTATTTTCTCTAAATTTACAGTACAGCTGTAACTTAATTTCACGGTATTTTTATTGAAAACAGTACCGAGTTTACCATCTTTAAGAAAATGTTTGATTATTTATGCAAGGAATTTTTGTCCTAATTTATTCTTTACCATTTGGTTTTATGGGCGGCGTATACCAAATTATTTTTTCTTCTTTTTTCTTTTTTAT